TGTCTGTCTGTCTGTCTCGCCATTCTCTTTCGATACAGTGTATGATACACACACACAAGACACACACGCACGCACACACACACACACACACACACACACACACTCACGCGCACACTCACGCGCACACACACACACACAAACACACACACACACAGAGAGAGAGAGAGAGAGAGAGAGAGAGAGAGAGAGAGAGAGAGAGAGAGAGAGAGTCACATCCCCCGAACGGCCAGAGTAATGTTAAAAGAGTCAGGTGTCTTATCATCATGGGACGGGACAATGGGGTGGCAGTCATACGGCATGAGGTGTAGCAGTAGTGGCGTTTTTTTCTCCGGAAGATAATACTGCAGGTACGTCATCTTCTGACCAGATCTTAACGTAGCGACGTTATTACTTGTTAATCGGAGGTCAAATCTATCCAGAAGATTAGACCCCCCTTTGACCCTCGAAATAAGACAGTGAGACGGCCATCCTTCGAAATGACGTATTAAGTATTTGAGATCGCACGGTTTTTTTTTCACTCTCATCAGCACAATTTAGATCATTACAGGTTGGACTGCTTTGACTCTACCTGTCATGGCCAACTCACGACATGTTTTTTTCGAAAATGTTGGTAGGTGTGCTTACGCCCCCATCGACACAATTTAGGCCCACACAATTTAGGTGGCGGGTTTCAAACCTGTCAGGGCCAACCCGAGTTGAGAGGGATACACACAACATTCCAGCAGAATGATCTCGATACTCGATTTTGAAAAAAAGTTATCGCCACTCGAGAATCGAACTCAGGTATAATCAGTCTGATGCGAGAGACAGCGAAGCGCCTGTAACCGCTACACCACAGACGCCGGTCTATGCTGAGTGAGAGGCAGCGTCTCAGCAGAAAGAGAAGCAAACTCTGACGTCATTTCTAAAGATACAGTAATACGCAGTTTTTACAATTTTACAGGGGTGCCAAAAAAAAAAGCAAATAACGAAACAACAAATAACTGAAAGTTGTTACCAGTAAAAACAATAGTCGCTTTTCTATAATATATGAAGAAAGTTATCCATATTGTATTTTTTTAAAGTATTGACTTGGGATGTTTGCAAAGAGTTTGTTTTCTTGGTAACAATGTTCAGTTTTTTGGCCGTCCTGCAAAATCTGCATGTGTATTTTGACAAATGACGACAGAACAGCTGAAATGACTCACGTTATCAGAATCTGAGAGCAGCAAAGGTACAAATACCCAGAGCACGCTGCCCGTTAGAAACATACGTTGATTCATTAGTACAGTCGGGACTGGCCACGGTTTTTGTCTCGGAGGGGCAAACGCTGCCATTTTGGCACAATTGTGATCAAAACAAACCCTTCATTAATAAAAAAATCTTTGATTTCGTAGACTTTGATCAAAAATCTGTTCCAAAAATTTTGTTACGGAGAACTTTATCGAAATGCACTCAAACACATTTTTGCCCTTCCATGGATGGAAATCTGGCTGACCCCGACTCTCTTCGATTGAATTCCATTGGCAGTGTGCAGTGGGCATAACCAGCACACACCAGGAACCGTCACAATTTTGTGTATAGCTGGACGTTACGTCACCGTTTCTCGATTTTATAATTCTTGCTCCAAACATTGTTACAGGGAACCCGGAAGCACCTTTTCTCAGAGATTGCCACCGTGGAACCCAGAGGAGCAAAAATACTTGAACTTTGACCTGAAGTCCCGTATCAAGAGCCACTACAAGGAGGAGGTGCTAGAGCTGTGGTATGAGCAGGCGCCGAGGTGGATCATGGAGGATAAATACGGCCATGTCGAGCTCTAGGAGACATCTTCACAGCATGCCGCCTCTACGGGGGTGCTCATTGCAGATGGGATCGGGTCGGGTCGGGTCTATCGCCCGACTCGTGGCCAGAAAACAAACTTGTTAGTTTTTGAGGCGAAGAGTCTGGCGATCGGTTTGTGCCACGATAGCAGCTTTGCGCCCTCAATCTGGCAAGCAAACCAACCTGACCGGACCCGATCGTACCAATGGGCACTCGTTACGAGGTATTCAAGTGATTTATGTCCCCTTTTTATTTCTCTTTCACAACATTTGACCTGTTATATACTGTATTTTGTCACTAACATTTCTTTTTTAAGAATTCTTCTCCACGATTTGAAACAAAACTCATTTTTAAACTCGTTTGGACCCGTAAATGATGTATTGTATTAGTATTTTATTGATGATCGCAGGCAGGGTTTTATTTACTAAGTCCCAGCAGACAGATTATAAAGATACTCGATAAAAAATTTTTCCCCACAAGGGAGTAGAACTTTTGTCTTGTGCGTGGTATGATTTCTACATTATATACATATATACAGGTATATTATTTCTTTGAAGTAAGAGTGTGCTAACGTGCTGGCTAATACGATTTCATCATAGAAGCTACTAGCGCAGCGATGAGTCAAGTGTTATAATATCTTTCCTCATAATACTCGTAATTCATCTTGGTTTCATGTGTTTAAAGTACGAGGCTCTGTGTCGAGCTGTACCAAGATATTTACTCTAATGTGTGGTTTTATGTAGACCGGAGATTTCTAGCGATGTAGACTCAGCTCAACTCCTACATTTTTCAACTTTATACCGCAATGTATTTGATAGACAGATGTCTACGAAGAGTGATATAATAACAAAAAATATATACGTCATCTCTGAAATAATATAGGGTAAAACATAAATGAAGGCATTTCATGTAATCATAATAATGATGATAATAATATTAATAGTAATCGTAACAATAACGGTAATAATGATAATAATAACAATAATAAT